AACGCTGTCGGGTTATTTTTTAATTCTTGGGTTTCTTTGTATAATATTGTCGGTATGAAGCTTCAGGTGAAGCTACATAATAAATCAGCCTAACGTTAGAATTTAAATTTGTGTTATTAATCTGATTTCTTTGCTGGAAAATACTCCACAGCTTTAAGTGTGATAAATAAACAACGACTGTAGTGAAGAGTTTAAACGTCTCTTCAGGGAACAGAAGCACCTCTTTAACGTTTTACTATGAACGAATAAAACCTCTTTTATTCCACCTGATGGACTCACATCATGTGACCAACGTCTAAACACCTGAACACAGACGGTCTCTGAATAAAACCAGTTTTCTTGCAGCAGTGCTTCACTTTTTTGTGCTCCTCAGATTAAAGCCGTTCTGGCGTCTGAAGGCCTGAAGCTGGACGTGTCTCTGCTCGTCATCAGTCTGCAGCTGGATGATGGAACCGCGGCGCCACCTGCTGCTCACATGTGAACCTGCTGCTGGGAACTGGAGCCTCCATCATGTTCCCCAGGATCTCCAGTTTACTTCTCATAAATATTAACTGTAAATGCATCGATCCTTCTGCGGGAAAACACAAATCACAATGTTCTGGACTAAAGTTCTGTTATGTAGTTTCATTGGTTTGTAACCGACTCTCATTGATGTGATGACTGTTAAAGCTGGTTCCTTGTTTTTTGTAGGTCAACGTCATTATTACAATTTATAATTTTCAATAATTTTGTTTCACAGAGTTTCAGTGTTTTGGGTAAACTACAGAGCCATACTGAGGGTTGGGTTTGTGTGTGCAGATGTATTCAGTGTGGTGTTGCTGTGGTTCTTGGCCTTAATCATCCCAACCGGCCTCACCTGAGCAGGTCGCTGATCAGCTGCAGCTCACTGCTCTGGTCCATGTTCTCAACACGGCGTCTTTATCTCCTGAAGTAAAACGGTTCTTCTCCGTTTTGTGTCGTAACAAAGTCTGCCGGCCCAGGAAGGAGGACCATGCAGGAGTTGTGGCTGAAAGCAAGTTTCCTTTACGGAGCTTGTAAGGAAGTTAACCTGAGTGGAAACGAAACAGAACCCATTAAAGGTTCGGTCCAGTAAACTGCAGCTGATCAGACGGTTCAGCAGGAATCACAGCCGACTTAAATCAGGTACAGCGTTTGATTTTTTATGTAACTTTTTGATCAACCCTCTGAAAAATGAACAGACATGTGTCCAAGCTACATAAGTGGATAGAGACTGGGTTAAAGATGCTAATGACTAGCCTGGAGATGTTAATGGTTAGCCTGGAGATGCTAATGACTATCCTGGAGCTACAAGTAACTAGCCTGGAGATGCTAATGATTAGCCTGGAGATGCTAGTGACTATCCTGGAGCTACAAGTAACTAGCCTGGAGATGCTAATGATTAGCCTGGAGATGCTAGTGACTATCCTGGAGCTACAAGTAACTAGCCTGGAGATGCTAATGATTAGCCTGGAGATGCTAGTGACTATTCTGGAGCTACAAGTAACTAGCCTGGAGATGTTAATGACTAGCCTGGAGATGCTAATGACTAGCCGTCTCTCCAGACTGGGCATTGTTGCTCATCTTTTAGATGCAGGTGGAGTTTTGTCCTTCAAAGCTGACTGTCTCGTGTTGTGCCATGTGCTCATAACATACATGCAGAATGAGACTAATGCTGTATTTTGACATATTTAAATATTTTTATTATTCCTGCAGACTGAAACCTGCAGGGTTTGTTAATGCGTTCCCATTGGTCCCATACGACTGATGAGCCAAAGCTTGTATGAATTCTGAATAAATGAAAAAACAGGCTGCTGTGAAAGATGATTTCTTTATCTTATGTCAGTCTTCAGTGTTTTGTTTTCTTTCCATTTCAAGCTGCAGACTTAAATAATCCTCAGAAGAATGAACTGAACCCAGTGAGTGTACAGAGACCAGAGGAGGCCGAGTAGTTTAAAAGACGTCTGTTTTACTTCCAGTTGAACGAATCAGAGCAGCATATCAATAAAACACAGGTCACGGTTTAAGATTGTAACAGGAAATAAATAAACATCAGTCAGTTGTAAACTTGTTCATCATGAAGCGCATGATGTTAAACTCGTCGTTGGTTTAGTTTGCAGGACGTGAAACTAACGTTGAGCCAAACCAGCCGAACGCAGGAAGAAGTTCAGGAGCAGAAGATTTCAGTTCTGGGACAAAGAGAGACGGACTGAAGACAGGTATGTTGCAGTTGTACTGGTTTAAAGTGTTTGTTTGTTTGTTAGTTTTTTTGCTTCAGCGCTGAACTTTTCCAACAAGCAGACAAAGTCCCTGAAGTCAGTTGGGCTGGTGGCCAGACGTCAGTTTCAGACCTTGTTTGTTTGTACACACATTCCTTCCCGCTGTCTGGAAAACAGCTAACGGGGTGCGCTTGTTTCCTTCCAGCAAACAAAAGTGACCTTTTCTTGGACTTTAACTGAGAGAATTAGTGGACAAACTGAAACAAGCGCACCCCGATGATACAAAAACAAACCAAACAGAAAAACAACCAAGCGACCTGATATTCTACACATCTGGACTAAAACATCCACCGTCTGAAACGTTCTGAAGGTGTTTTTTTAACAACCGTGAGGCGACTTTTCGTTCAGCGCTCACTGAACCATTCTTTGGAGAAAAATGTAAAATTCAACACGAGATAAGTTATAAGGGTAAAACCTCGGGTACCTCAGTATTCACAAAAACATTTCAAACCTGGTTCTGTTTCGTCCAGATAGAAAGAAAAGAAGTTCAGTAACCGTCCCTTCATCAGAATTGCACATCATCCATAGAAAACATGAACCCTCGTATGTACAGCAGAAACCAGACCTGGCTGAGGATCAAGTGTTCCGACAGAGTTACGGGAAACGTTCAGGGAACGTTGTTCATTTCAGTGTATTTATTCTTCTACTGCAGTGAAACTACACACACCGACAACAATAAGGCAGCTGTAAGGACGCGTCTGTCAGTCACACTGTGAGCAAAGTGAGTCGGTCGAAGGCCATCGATGGGACGATCAGTACAAAACATGAAGTTGCAGAATCTGTGACTTCCTGAAAGAACTCTTTAGAAGCTCTGTGACTTTGTTCTAAGGATGATTAAAACGAGCTTGGACAGCTGTTGGGTTCGTTACCACACGTACACGTTGGACAGTTTCCCACTGCAGGCTGCAAAGAAAGTCAAAGTGTCTGAGTTCATTTTCCCAACTTCTACGTCACAACGACCGAATATTGTGCAGCTCCGATATCAGCAACATCCACAGAACTGTTCAGTCTTTAAGGCCTCATTTGCTAAACCAGGATCCTGGAACATGTGTGCTGGTGGTCCTATCTGCTCATTTGGATCCGTCACAGTTACCGTTAGCACTCGACTGCTGCCCTGTTAGCACCATGTAGCAAAAGTAGCTAACGTCAACTTCAGATAACGAAATGAAGCAAACACGGAAGTGACAAAAAGTGCATTTCCTTTAATGTGCGCTTGGGGCTATAAAAGTGACGAATCTCCACCGAGCCTCATGCAGAAAACTGCTCTGGTCTCTGCAGCTAATTTCCTTGTTTATGACAACCGTCAGCTTGTCTAAACTGCATCGAGGCTTAAAGTTTTGCATAATTAAGGATGTGGCTGCTCATGCTAGTGATTAGCCAACGAATGCTACTGACTGAACTAGTAATGCTGGTGGGTAGTCTGGAGATTCCACTTTTCTAGTCTAGATATGCTAGTCATTAGCCTTACAAGGATTCTGTCAGGCCTAGGGATGCTAACAGCTAGCTTAAAGATTCTAGTTGTTAGCCTAGCCTAGGAATACTACCCATTAGCCTAAGACTGCTAGTGTCAAACCTTGGGATGTAAGACATTAACTTATTAATAGCCTTGTAACACTAGCGGTTAGCCTAAGGATGCTAATGGCCTGTCTAAAAATGTTTGTTGCTAGCCTAGAAATGCTAGTCTCTAGCTTCGGGATACTAGTGATTAGCCTACAATGTCACTGACAGATAGTAATGCTGGTGGGTCGTCTGGAGATTCCATTTTTCTAGTTTAGTCTAGATACTAGTCATTAGCCTTACAATGATTCTGTCAGGCCTAGGGATGGTAGTTGCTAGCTTAAAGATTTTAGTTGTTAGCCTAGCTTAGGAATACTGCCCATTAGCGTTAGTGTCAAACCTTGGAATGTAAGTCATTAACCTATTAATAGCCTGGTAATGGTAGCGGTTAGCCTAAGGATGCTAACAGCCTGATTAGAAATGTTTGTTGCTAGCCCACAAGATAAGCTAAGATAGAACTTTATTGATCCCTTTTCAGGGAAATTACTTTTACAAATGCTAGCCTCTCACTTAGGGATACGAGTGATTAGCCTAACTTCAAAATACTAGCTCAGAGAAGAAGAGTCAGGTGGAGTCGCTCCTCGTGTCCACACAGCTTTTGCTTAGTTTTCTGTCTAATATACTAACTGTGCCCCCTGGTGTTCAATGCAAAGAAATGTGTTTCATGTTTCATTTCTTCATTACACAGGTAGCGTTTTTTAAACTAGCTAAATGATTTTCTTTGGATTTTCAGATTACATTTGTTGTCGACGTAGTCGAACAACAGATCGACCTTCGTGCTAACTCATATTTCCAACTTGAGTCCGTTATCGAAGCAAACATGTTCAACGTACTGGAGGCTTCAACAGTTTCCTCCAGAATGGAACAAAGTCACAGAGGTTTTTTTGCTAATATTGTCCGCTTCTATTTTTAAGTATTCAAATAAATAAGTGTTAAACCAAAGCAAGTGTTATATAAATATGGTTGTATATTAGCGGTATTGCTCACAGTGTGAAGGAAACATCGGACGTCTCTGCATGTTTCCCGTAACTTCTCTCCAAGATCCACTTTGAGGACAAACTTGATGTTTTGCTGTTAAAAATGTTGAAAGAGTCATTAGTATCTAAAAACACGTTAAATAGATTAAAAAAAGGCAGATCGCTCCACGTGACGGAAGCCGCACGATTCAAGACTTTTGAGGGGAAACAAGCAACTTCACGTCCCGACCGGCAGTTCTGGTTCTGATCCAAACATCTGAGGAACGTTCTGAGTACTTTGTTAAAACATCATTCGTGTCATCCGCTGGAGCACTTGTCGTTATGTTCCCTTGTGCATCCTGTTCAGCCCAGGTTGGACACGGAGGTCAGAATAATTACAACAGACATAAAAACACACGGAGGGTGAAGCTGCCTTTGAGTCTGAGCTCCGACACTTTCAAAGTAAAAGCCAAAGTTTGACTTCTTCACAGCTCTCTACATTTTAGAGGTACTTGTGGTTTGCTTAAGCTTTGGTCACTTCACAGATTAAGACTTTTTATTTTTTAAAATGTGAGCTTGTAAAATAGCTTTTGAATTCTTCATATATCCACTAAAAAGACTTTAACGTGGCTACACCGATACAAACCAGTAAAATTCTGCAGTATTTCAAAGAGAAAGCAAAGATTACAGAAGTTACAAATGCTCAGCTAGCCGTAAGTCCTCAGAAAGCTAGTGGCAGGCAGAGGAATTCTAGTTGCTAGCCTAGCCTAGCCGAAGAATACCAGTCGTTAGGCTAAGAATGCTAGTGACTAGCCGATGATGCTAGTTACTTGCCTATTTCTAGCCAAGGAAAACTAGTGGCTAGCCAAGGAATGCTAGTGGATAACTTATCGTAACCTTGGGATACTAGTGACATGTCTAGAAATGCTATTTACTAGCCTAGGAATGCTAATGACTAACCTAAAAATTCTAGTTGCTACTGAAGATTTTCTTTTTGCAGGAGATTTTAGGTGCTAGCCTAGCTTAGCCTACCCATAGTAGTCATTTGCATAATACTGCTAGTGACAAGCCTAGCCAAGCTAGTTGCTAGCCTATTTCTAGCCTAGAAATGCTCGTCTCAAACATAGGGATGCTAGTGGCTAGCGTAGAAAAGCTAGTCTCATACCTAGAAATGCTAGTGGCTAGCGTAGGAATGCTAGTTTCAAACGTATGGATGCTAGTGGTTAGGCTAGAAATGCTAGTCTTAAACCTAGAGATGCTAGCCGAATAGAATAGAATAGAATAGAATAGAACTTCATTGATCCCTTTTGTGCAAACCTCAGGGAAATTGTTGAAGGTTTGCTGAAGGCTATTTGTGATGCTAAAGGCTGGAGTAGTGATGCTAGTAATTCTCTAACTTAGCCCAGGGCTCTAGCGGCTAAAGATAGCCTACGAATGCTAATGACTTGCCGAGGAGTGCTAGCGATTAGCCTAGCCATGCTAGTGACTAGCCTGGGTCTGCCAGTGGCTAGCACAGTGAGTCTGATGTAGGTGGTCGTGAATGTTTTGGTTGTCGGCTGAACATTTTGCTAACGTTTCTGATAGTTTCTGAAGTATTTTACCTGCAGGACTACTTCTTATCGAGTACTTCTGCAGTACTAACACTCGTATTACTGTTATTACGTATCTTTTTGCTCCAGCTTAAGGTCGGCAGATCAGATTAACATCTCCAGTTTCACTTCCACCATTTTACAGCAAAAAGTGCCGTCAGAGCGACGCCTGAGTCCAAAGAGCTGGAGATCCTGTAAAAGCCGTCCAAACTCCAGAAGCAGCACATTCAGAGGCAGCTCCACCCGGCACATAAAACCGCACAGTTCTTGGTAGAGCAACAATAAATAAAGAATCGCTGAGATCCAGCAGAACCAAAGACGAACACTGCTTCCATGTCTGAGATCAAAAATAGACTCTAGGGGCGAGTAAACAACAGCATCCGTCCGTCGTGTCTGAAATCGCACCGCTCTGTGTAAATATATATAAGTCTTTGTGGATTTAGAGTAAATCTGTAACACACTTCAGTTAGTAGCACATATTCATACTTCAAATAAACACAGGAATGAGGAAGAAAAGACACGATGAAGGAATCTCTGTGGAAGTTTCCCGTTTGCTGATGAGCCCATAAAACCCAGTTCATCCGATTTGTTCTGTTTTATCCAAAATATATATGTTGGGCGACTTTATGATGTGGATATTAAAGTCAACAGTTTTCTATTTGAGAATGAGGAGAAATAAAAAGGAGACATTTGACCTACATAGCTTAACCGCACTAACAAATTATGTGGCCAAAAGTATGTGGACGCTCCGTCTCAGGCTGTTGCTGGTGGTTAGAGCTGATTTTATGTCGTTTCCAGCTTCAGTACGACCAAAGTGAGATTCAAAAAGAAACGGTTCCCAGTTTAGAGTGGAAATATTCAACTGGTCTGCACAGAGCTCTTAACGCGAGTAAATCTATGCACACAGCAAGTCCAACTAAAACACCAGCATGTAACGCTCAGGTGTCCACATACTTTTGGTCATGAAGTGTGCCGTGCTATACATGATCAAAATGTAAAAGAACCAAAGCAGAGCTTGTGTTGTAACCGCAAGTTCAATAAACTGTTAAAAACATCAGATATCCACATTAAAAATCCACATCGTGACCAGTTTGGGTTTTTTTTTTTAAAGCTGTGACTCATCTTGCTAATAATAATAATAATAATAATAATAATAATAATAATAAAAGGTTCAGTAACGAACTAATTTCTGGGCTTTCACAGCTCAACGACCACGAGGACAGTTCTGATTGGCTGAAGCAGGCTGTGTTAGCATAAAAGCTAGCTAGCCTCCAAACCGCAGACCGAGAGCAGCACCGGGTTTGACTGATGCGCAGCAGCTCCGTGGAAACTGAGCCGACGTTGTAATGAAACGTGACGGACAGAGTGTGGTTGGTTAAAGCCCGCCTCCTGTCGCTGCTGCTTTGGGCCGTTTCCTCCCCGATTCACAAACTGTCAGAAAGAAACGTCTGAAATATTCAAAATCTGCTTTCAGCGCAAACGAGGATCATCGCTGGTGTTCGGTTATTCTTTAAACCTCTGAACCCCAAAACCTGCAGGAACTATTCCAAGAGAGCTTCACTTTCAAGAAGAAAAAAGGCAAAACTGCACCGTTCATCAGCAATAAAAAAAATCCGCTGGTTTCACATCTGCATCAAGTTAGTTATTATGTTCGTCTATTTAATGAAGCAAAGTTTGATCGGATTCTTAATTAAAATCACTTTTTTTCTTCACGTCTCATTTCAAAATCTGCAGAAAATGGACTGTTTGCTCAGAACAGATTGTGTAAAAACCAGAACTTCTGCACGGGTCGGTGCAGCCGGGAAGCGATGAGCTGCGAGCAGCAGAGTGAAGGTCAGACGTTCGGTGGTTGTTCTGTGAACGATCTGCTGCTGCTGGAGTTCAGAGGTTAAAGGATAACTCATGACCGATCCACTTCTCACAGGCGTCTGAATCTGCATTTTATCAGCCTGTAGGGTTTCTGTGGAAAGTTCTGGTGCTGGCCCGTTTTATCTGCAGCTACTATGGGATGGATAAACCACGCATCAGTCAAACCTCAGTGTCCACAGAGGAGCAGCTCTTCCATTTCCATCCTGCTGGTAGTTAAACATCGGTGCTGTTTGCTCTCAGGAGACGACGACCGTCCGCCTGCAGCTTCTGCTTTAGGTCCACACGTCATTCACTCACGTCCTCCTCCACCTCTCAGGTCCAGAGAGAAGACATCGTCGTTAGGCAGAAGACTCACGCTCACACATTCACACACAGTAAACCTCCCTGTCCGTCCGTCCGTCCGTCCTCCCGCGGCTCAGACGTCGTAGTCGGGCAGAGCAGAGTAGGAGACGCCGCCCACCGACGGAGGGCTGGAGTGGAGAGGAAGCAGCCAGCAGAACACCGAGCCTGAACACAGAACCACAGGTCAGAACGCTCACGACTGAAACGTGAAGGAGCCGACAGACGGGAACCCACCTCTTCCGAACACCTCCCTCAGCAGGGCCAGCTTGGGTTTGCGGGTGTGAGGAGGATGATGAGGCAGCTGGGAGGAGGACGAGGAGGACGAAGAGGAGGAGCCGCGGTCCTTCACCATCAGCCGGTTCCTCATCTGCTCGATGGGCGTCTCGTCCGTGATGATGGAGACGAGCTGCAGGAGGAGACGGAGAGGAGTGATGCAGTTCTGTTCAGTCTGAGCAGAAGCTTCATGGAGTCACGGTGGTCCGTGTGTTCCTGGAACATCTGACTCAGGAGATAAGCTGCTGAATGTTTTTAGATTTTCAGGAGTTTCTAAAGACGTGACGTCTCTCCAAACACATCCATGGTGTACGTCAGCAGCCCTGCAATGCATCCTGGGAGCACTGAGGCTAAAGACACCAGGATGTAAAATCAAACCCTAACCCAGCAGCTGACTTCTTCTGCCCTCAGATGTTTCCAGAAGAACGCGTGTCAAGTCGAGTCTGTTATTATTTATTTATTTAAAAAATAAGACGAACCTCACAGGTTTAAACACTGACGACGTTTAAGGTTTGAATTTACTGAATTGGTTCAGAAAACATCACGAGCTCACTGCTGCTGCATCAGTTCTGTTCATATGAGCTTAAAGATGGTTTCAGTTTGTTCACATTTCAACTCGCCCGTCATCACATTATTTGATCCACTTGTCCAGTTTTACAGACTCTCAGTCAGCGACATGATGAGAAGTAACAGAGAAAAGTTCAGGTTTTAATCTTGAGTAGTTTCTGACATGTTGTTGTTTCAATGTGAGAAGAAAACGTGCTGAAAGTGGTTCACATGATCTGAAGTATCTGATCTGCTGATGCAGGATTTCACAGACACCATTCATCAGAGAGGGTCGAGCAGAAGGAACCCTTCGTTCCTTCTTGGTACCTGATCGTAGAAGATGACCATGACGAAGACACCGAACAGCACCGACTCCACCAGCAGGATGATGTAATGGGCCCTGAAGGCAGAGACACAGGAGAACGTTAACACCAGCCGACTCTGAACAAAGCTCCCCCAGACCTCCTCACGTCCAGGGTTCAGACCGAGACACTGATCTGGTATCAGGTTCTACCAGAACCCAGATGTGTTCTTCCTCCTAAATGTCATGTGTCTATCTGCTGTACTGATGAAGTTCTGAGGCTCAGAAATGATGGAAAAAGTCCATTAAAGTGATCAATCTGGACCCTCCTCTGTGGACTTGAAGGACCTGGACCTCTGGAACATTCACAGTCTGAAGGTAGAACTCTGGTCAGTAGATAAAGGTGCTGCAGATACAGAACCAGCTGGTTCATGAGGAGGTCCGGTTGGAGGTTCTGATTGATTTTCTGCTGAATGACTCACACTATCAGGTGTTTGCTGGGCGTCTCTTCTCCTTCCTTCTCTGCGTCTCCTTCCCGTTCACTCCGGATCCTCCAGATCCAGGCCGACACCACCAGAACCATCGAGTACAGACTGGCCATCCCTGAAAGCAGACGTGAATCACCGTTAGCTGACTCACACCGGGCCACCAGCAGGTCTGATAAACGGCACCAGTCACAGAACACTCATGAAGTAGGCGAAGGAAAAACACATGCATGTGCATAAAGTGACTGGAAACAGAGTCGCAGCTGGTTCAAGGGTTAAAAGTCGTTTTATTGTGTCAGCGACGTCCAAATGAGTCTCAAGGGGATCAGAAACCCCGTCAGACCAGTAAAAGACCTCCCGGCTGGTTCTCGGTTCGGTTGATTCGACCCGTTTTAATGCTAATGAAGCTCCTTCTACTGCCTGTTTTCCTGAAAGCATTCAGCAGAATAAGTCTGACACGTGAACACATAAACAGGAACATTCAGGAGTGAAACTAAACCCCACAGATTCAGGAAGAAGCTAAACATAGCAGAGCTGAGCGCGACAGCTTCCTCTGAGGCCCGGGCGGGTCATGGAAAGACTCCAGTAACGTCTGAGGTGCAGCAGCAGCCGTAAAACCCTGATTAGGTCTAATAACCGGTCTGCTGGCCCGTCAGGCTGGAACGCTGTGGCCAGCTCACTCCTCTGTTATTTGAACTGAGCTCTGTCAGATATGGTGTGTGACTCCTGCTTTGTTTTGTTTTTCTGCTTCCTTCCAGCACTGCTGATGTCAACATGCTGCAGTTTACTGACCGGTGTAGAAGAGAAACTGGATGAAGTACTTCTGGTTCAGCTCCCCGACACAGTTGTTGATCCTGAACAACAGACAAGTAACAGAGAAGAGAAGAACTGAGACTGGATGGATAATGGATGGATGATGGATGGATGGATGGATGGATGGTGAATGGATGATGGATGATGGATGGATGGATGGATGGATGGTGAATGAATGAATGGATGGATGGATGATGGATGGATGCTCCCACCAGGGGCAGTGGTGGTCCATGCGGCGGATGCATCTCTGGCAGACCCGGCAGTGGTGCGCTCTGGGAGGTCTGTAGGTTTCACAGCGGCTGCACACCGTCCAGCCCTCGCAGCCCTGAACACGAGTAAAACACTGAATGAGAAGAACTCTGGACGAGTCGCAGCGACTTTCTACTCGACTTAAAGGTAACACTAAGTTCTGATCTGGACTTCTCCATCATTTATCAACAGAGTCAGACGTCGCAGACATTCACAGGTTCTACGCTGAACTCAGCAGAACAAAACAGACTTTGTGTCACTGAGCCCATAAGTAAATAATGAGAAGCTGTGGAGCACATAAGAGCAGCTGTGAGGATGTAAGCACAGAGAAGCTCTGAGATAAACACAGGCTGGAGCAGCTAATGACACGTCCAGATAATACAGCGCTGGCCTCTACTATTAGCCTTCAGCTCTGCTCTTAGCTTCATGCGTTAGCGTCGAGTTTATGAGCAGAACGAACACCTGAAGACAAGAACAACTTCAGGCTTTTGCTGGAGCTTCGCTGTATGGGACACACCTGAACCTGAAGTGATGCTCGTTGTTTCTGAACACGTCTTAAGCTCATAGCTTGGTGTCATCAGAGGGTGAACTCACCCGTTCATTCATCCGAGACGACTGAGAGCGGAGGTCTGAGAAGTCGATGGCGGTTTCAGGGAGAGGCACCATGCCTGAACGCAGAAACACAAAAACTAACCAACGTGCTCGAGTTATTTCACAGCTCCTCCCCTCTCAGATTATTAAAACTGATTGTTTCAATGCATATTTATCAGTAAAATATAGTAAAAAACACACTGACCACAAAGGACACTAAAAACCCTCTGTCTGGAGAAGAAAGTAAACCTTTTGTACAACATTCAGTCTGTAATTATCAACAGTATTATATTTTGGTAAACAATGAACCCAATTAGCTGCCAGAATATTGTAAGAAGAAGCTTTATGCCTGGTGCAGGCTGAGTTTTTTTCTGTATTTATCTAATTGTACTGGTTCACTTACATCATTTTTACTTTTATTCTTTGTTTAATTGATGAAGAAGGTGACGTTTGATGGATTTAGCTGCTCTGAAGCCTGGAACTACACAGCAGGGATTTCTATCAGTCTAATGAATGTGAGAACCACAACAAACTCTGCTTTAAAAATCCACATTTATACTGATTAAACCTGGACTTCATTAACAAGGAGAGTCCATTCACTGTTAATTATATTTGTAAAAAACAAAAAAGTAATCAACTATTTTTCACACCTAGATTTGTGCCATTTAAAAAAATATGCTTTTTATATTTGCTTTTATAAATAAATCAAAGATTTCCCAGGTCTGCCAGTGGCACTTAAACAGCGTTAAGTTTCAACTGAGATGTCTGACAGGACTTTACAACAACAAACAGCTAAACTTCTGTCATGATTTTATGAAACTTCTTCTCTGGAAAACTGACGTGGTCGCCGTCTGGTTTCCCTGACTGCGTTGCTTTGGGGAGTTTGCAGATGGATGACTTCAGGCTTTAAACTGACCAGGATCTGAGAAGACGGCCTTGGAGTGGCAGGCCAGCAGCAGCAGCAGAATCAGGTTGAACACTGAGCCGTGCAGAGTACACCACACACTGTGGGGAGAGGAAGGAGCACGCCACACGGGTTTACTGCATGGAAACATCAGATTACTTCTATAGTTCCAGCATCAGTTATTCAGCTTTGAGCGATAAAATGCCTGAATGTAGTGAAACACGTCTGTCAGAGCTTCAAGAGTCTGGGACGTCTTTAAACATCTTGCCTTCTTCAAACAGTCAAAAACCTAAAAATATTCAGTTTGCAATTATTATAAAAAAAAAAAAAAAAAAAAACAGCAGTCCTTATTTAATATTTGTTAGTTTTCTGTATTTTTACACGAGACTGTTTAGAGCAAACTCCTGTCACTCCTTCACAGCTTTAATAAAATGCTTTAAACTGTATTATCCATCATAAATATGGACTGCAGGCGTTATTAGTGCAAATGTGAACAGTCCGAAAACAGTTTCATATAAAGTCAGGCCACATGAACCACAGAGGAAATCTGAAAAAGGACAGTGAATACGTAAAACACAAGCGGCAAAATAACTGCATTATGTTATAGATGTGGGTAAGTTAACGTTCAAATGTTCCTTTTACATTTAGACTTTTCTCTACTACCAGCCTCCGTTCAGTCTGCGGGGGAAGACCCAGGCAGTGACCTCAAAAAAGTCAAAACTATAAGAAAAGACGGTGTTCATGTAATGTTTCCTGTCAGCCGAATTAAAGGGCGTCTCTTGCTGATGTAGGAACCGTTGTGGTTCAGGTCGCAGACAGTCAGACCTGTGTCACACACACACAGACAACATTAAATTACCGGAATACTGAATGAACCCCGGACGCGGCGGAAGCCCTCTGACAGCAGCCAGCTGACGGACTGTTTTGATGCGCATCAGCCGCGTCAGGTGGTAAACAAACGGAAAACCCCGTTTATCCGGTGTCTCCTCAACACAAAACCGTCACACACACTCCCGTAAATACACATGAATACTCGTTACTGTGACAAAAACGATGTTAAACGGAGGGAAGCGCCTGAAGATGCTGTTCGAGCTGCTCGCTGTCAAATGAATGGAGGCAGCGCAGACAGCAGGCGCCATGTCGGTGATTTTAGAGGTTCTAACGGCATAAAAACACAAAGTACCGACCTGCCGGAGTAGGCGGGGATGAGGACATACTGTATGACCACGTAGTCCGCGTAGAACACGCTGAAATAAGTTAGAATCAGACAGATAACGCCGCAGGGATCTCGCCTACAGCGCAGGGACGCCATCTTCTGCCGGGCTCCGCCCCCCTGGCCTCCGCTTCCGGGTGACGTCAGGTCGGAACCTGATCCTCGCTTCCTGGCTGTCAGAGTGACGTGTGAATTTTTTAAAGGGCCAGTTCACTGAAATGAAAAGGCTCGTGGATGATTCGTCCTCATTGTGGGTGTTGCCTTCATGTCTGATCTGGTTTTCTAATGAAACAAATCCGTGACAATCTAAAAACTAGAAAGCAGAATACAAATATTTTCAGGATGTTTTGAACGTTCTATTTACTACAATTGGCAGGAAAAATGACAAACACACTTAAAGTCTGGATAACACATCAAATCGTGTAAAACATCATTTAAAACACAATCGCAACTGAGAATAAAACTCTATAATGTTGTGCTGTGGTCAAGAACACTATGTTTGTGTTGGATTTGGAGTCGTAACTTCCACAATGAGTTACTGTTTTGTAAAATAGTCATTTTATTCCTATTTTATATCATTAAATATCTTTAACCTGTGACGTGTTGATCCAGATTTTACCTTTCAGAAAAAATGCTGCTAGATTCAATACTTAAAAGACAGACACAAGGCTTTCTTTTTCTTTTTTATTTCAAGATTTTGAAGAACTTGATGTCCAAAAATTGTTTGTGTTACCTGATAGTTCTAATTAATTTCATTTTATTTAATGATTTTAGCCTTTGCATGTCTGCCTAATGTGTCTACCTGATGAATGTGGACAGTCTGACACTTGTTTGTAGGTTGTGCTGCTGCAGCTCAAACTGACTTGATGTCACTGGGTGTTTAAAACAGCAGGCAAAACAGAAAAAGGTTTGTTTTTTGTCCTCTCTGTGCAACAAATGTTTTTATTTGTGCCCAGAAAATCTGTCCCACATCCGGCCCAGGTGTCACAACCTCATGACAAAGTAAATTTTTTGTTCAGCACCATTTTTGCATCAAACTTGGTATTTATAGATATAATTTACTGCACTTTGGGTGTTCAGTGACCTGATGGTGTTTATTCCTCTGCAGATGTTCACACAGTGATTGAGGCGCTCCACATTGAGACTACAGGGACTTTATAGTGTTTATGACTTTTAAAGTGACCTAAAATGTGCTAATGTTGACTTATAAGTGTCAGTCAGTGTGATTTAACCTCCTCAGAGTAAAGTTTATGTGTGTATTTATTGTTTTCAAGTGTCCCCATGATGTTTCTGTAGTGATTCTGTTGTGATGCTAGTGCTCCAAATGAAGTGTGTATTTAGTTTAATGGTCACATAGTGAATCATAATGTTCATTGACTTTAAGCTGTTTATTCCTCTGTAGATGTTTATATATTGCTGTCAGCGTTACAGGTCCTTGACATACAAATTGCTGCAGCGCTAGCTAACTAGCTGACCTTATGCTCAGCTAATAACGTTATGCTATGTTAGCTTGCAAAAGCAATAGCTAACTTTCTAAGTTTATGTTCAGCTAATAATGTTATACTAAATTAGCTGCTGCAGCGCCAGCTAACTGACTTATGTTAAGCTAATAATGTTATGCTTTATTACCTTGCTACAGCACTAGCTTAGTAGCCAACATTATGCTAAGATAATAACATTATAAAACATTAGCTACTGCAGCATGAGCTAAATAGCTGACTTTAGGTCAAGTTAATAACGTTGTGCTACATTAGCTTGCAGTAGCACTACCTAACTTTCTAAGTTTATGTGAGACTAATAACATCATGCTACATTAGCTTACTGTAACACCAGCTAACTTGCTAAGTTTATGTGAGGCTAATAATCCTATGGTATATTAGCTGCTGTAGCACTGGCTAGCTAACTAACTTCATGTTAAGCTAATCATGTTGTGCTACATTAGCTGCTGTAGCACTGGCTAGCTAACTAACTTCATGTTAAGCTAATCATGTTGTGCTACATTAGCTGCTGTAGCACTGGCTAGCTAACTAACTTCATGTTAAGCTAATCATGTTGTGCTACATTAGCTGCTGTAGCACTAGCTAGCTGTCTTGAATTCCTCACCACTGTGCCTTTATCAGCCCAGTTGATCTGCTGATGGGTAATTTCAGATTATTTTCAGGTCAGGAATTTAAACATCTTGCAGTTTAAATCCAACTTTTCAGTAAATCTTATCCATATAGACCAAGTTCTGTGATAAACCGGTCAACAGGTGAGCAGGTGTGGACGTGTGACCAGGTAAGCTGCTGCTCCGGTGGGCTCCAGCAGGGGCCAGCAGCCCCCGGTCCTCTCCCCGGGTGGCTCCTCCTCTAAAGCCGCCTCCTCCTCCTCCTCCTCCTGCTTCAACTCTCCGGAGTTTGGTCGCAGCCGCCGCCGCCGCTAACAAACCGACTTTTCTCTGGATTTATCTCCGCCTTCGAAGCCGAACTTTCCCGTCTCTGAGTTGGACCTTCACGGACGGCAGCAGCCCCGGCAGCAGCTCACGGAACCGGACCGAGCCGGAGGAGGAATCGGGCGTCCTGTCGAAGTCGCCATGGAAGTTCCTGGTATGCAGGTAAGACGAAAGGTGGACGCCGCCGACATTTTACCGGGTTTCGGCTGCTTTTCTGGCCCGAAAGCGGCGACCTGAGGCGGGTTCGGGCGGCTGGAGGAGGCGCTGTTCGGCTCCGGGCCTCTTCTGTTTGTTTTGCGGACTTGAGCTGCTGTTTCGGACCGAACCTCCAGAATCTGTGTGGAAAACAAGCGAGTGAATAATGTGGAACTTTGTGCGGAGTTTCCAGATGAACGTCCTCCAGAGGTTCGGCTTCTGTCCGTCGGACGGTTTACGGTCACTTTGGGTCCATTAAAGTCCCCGTAATGAGCTTATCATGAGCCACACGGTAATTAAAGCGCCTTGATGTCTCTTTAATTGTCTCTGTGATCATTTCTAGTGATGGGTTCTGAGGCTCTGGTCCAGTTTCCCTTCATCCTGAGCGGTTCTGTGGCTCTCATCGGGAGGCACAGCCGCTGGACATGGAGTTCACACGGACTGTGTGGAGTTTATGTGTTCAGACGTCCACATGTTGTTCTTACTGAGGCCTACAGCGTGACTTTAGTGTTTAAAGCTGAGTTTACATTCATCCTGTGTGTCTCTAGTGTTCACATGTTGCCCTGTAGTGAGTCTACAGTGTGTTTGTGTGTCTTCAGACGTCCATGTGTTCTTCTGATGGAGCTCCAGATGGACTTCATGGTGTTTACGTCTCCAGAAGTGTCCTGGAACGTTCACATAATGATTAGAAGGTGATTTAGTGGCTTCACGTTAACTTTACTTTGTCAGTGTTTGTTTGTCTCTGAGGGACATCCGTGAACTTGTGGTGTTTACGTCCCTGATGGCGTCCAACCAGGAACGTGTATGATGGTGGTCTGGTGTCTACAAACTGAGCTCATGAAGTCCATCTGTTCTTCCTATAGTGGCCTGAACGGTGGCTTTAGGTGGAGCTGACGGGGACTTTGTGGTGTCGACGTCTCTTCAGGTGACCTATAATATGAACACAGCTCATGATAATGTGAGTGAGCAGCTCCAGGTGGAGGCCACACTCACATCGTGGTGATGGTATCTGCTCTACCTGTCCTATAACAACCACATGTCGGCTTGTAATGTGGCGTCTAAACCTCTTTGGATGTCTCCATGTTTTTCCTGCGGTGGTGATCTTGTGATTTTGAGTTTGCAGCTAGTTTCCGGTTTCTGCGTCTCTTCTATCGGCCCGGTGATGTCCGTGTGGTGGCTGATGATGTGAGAGCTTCACTGGGCCTTTGTGGTGTCTTCAGATGAACCCATGTTGTTCTTTGTGGCTGTAGACCCGGTCCGTCCTGACTTCACGGGCTTTGTTTCTGTGTGGTGACACATGTGGACCGATGACGGGACTGTGGTTTATTCTGGTGTTTGGATGTGATGTGGCCGTGGAGCTTCAGACTGAGGACATTTGTGATATTCCTGCGTCTACTTGTTGTTGTTTCCTGTCCTGTAGAACCTTGTCATGGACCTTCTCTTGCATAATGCTCCGATGCTGACTCACCGGGTCTTCAGAGGTTATTTTTAGCTCCGCGTCTTTATCTCTTTAATTATATGGGTGATGGATGAGAAACTAGGTGTGTCTGAAGACTCTGTCAGGAACCTACTTTGTGTCGCCTGTTGCTCGGCAGCCTTTTATTGGGCCATCTGTGGCTCACCTGGAGAGTCTCACCTGCTTCAGCGTCAGGCGGGTTTGACATTTCGCTGCCTGTGCTCGGCTGAGGTGAGTCGGTGTTTGCGTGCGCCGGTGAAAAAAAAGGTGTGTTAGAACCTTGGCCTCCTGTTTGGCCGGCTTTCAGGTGTGTCTACCTGTGCGACTGGCTCGCTCTGCCTCGGCTCAGGTGGGCGGGCCGCGGGTGACGTCACAGGCAGGTGAGATCAACACACACCTGAGGCCCACGGGAGCGTCTGCCGCGGTGCGTTCTGCTCCATCACTCAGGTGATTTTAAACATAAATGTCTCATCAGGTTGTTTTTTTTTATCTCCTTATGAATCCTGGAGGAGTTTTTATCAATTACCTGAAAATAAAAGAGCAGAAAACAGACCAACCAAACCTCAGATGTCTCCCCCTGACCTCCTCAGAACCAGACGGTTCTTCATCGACTGCAGCTTCAGACTTTTATCTTCATACTATGAATATTTCACACGATTTAATGGACTTCTGAGCCTCAGAACTTCACCAGAACAGCAGATAGACACGTGACATGTCGGAGGAGGAACACATCTGGACAATATTAGAAAGTTGTTTCCCTGCAGGGTGTCTAGAAGATGGTTCTGGAGGAGAAACCGTCCTCCCATCGTCTAGAACTGGTTCTGACCATCACACATGCTGGTATGAGCCTGGACCATTTACCCAGAATGCACTTTGTACAGTGTTCTAAACTCATCCAGGGTAGCGATGCTTGTCTGAGACATCCCATAATACTGACGCCAGCAGCTGCTTGACTGGATCATTTTTAATTCATTTAGTTTCATTATTAACTCATTTGAGTGTTTTTGGACTTTACATTTTTGCAGAGTTTGAATAATTTC